CAAGGCTTGATTTGGAAGCCATGATATGAGGGCTTTGGACCCTTAAGTTGATGAGTGCATAACAAGGTCAAAAGTGTAAGATCCTGAAGGACAAGGTTCTAGATCTTTAAACCAACAACGCCAACAAGCAAGTAGAAGATTCATGGCATGCAAAAGTTCATCATACACACAGCAGTTGACCTACAAGTTAGAGAGATAATGATAAGAGCCTTGTAATGCATACAGTGGTCCTATTTACAAGCAAGTGGGGGTAGATGTATTGCAAATATAATAAATGTTCTGCAAATACAGGAGACTCATTATACACGCAGATATTCTCTACAAATAAGGCACTACATGACGACAACAAATGCAAATTCCTACGGACTCTTACAAAAGACCCTTCATATACACTAGACGTCATTTACAAGTACAATGTCAAAAGATTATAGCAAAAGCAAACTTTTATGAGTTGTTATAGGAAACTCGTTGTGTATACAACATGCTATCTATTAGTGAATACCAAAGAAGTACAGTAGATGTCAGCATCTACAAGCAAAAATAAGAGATTAGTTAGTGCACTACGATCTACTTGTATAAAGCAAATAGTGCATGACAGTCCACCTGTACAAAGCAGCGAATAACTCTATTCAGAACCTGCTACGCCACGCCTCCGGATCCACAACATTCATGCAAACTGACATAAGACATTTATAAATTCTTTCAAAGTACCCCCGCACGTGCACCGTAATTTGTATACACATAGGTACACTAAAAGGAGTAAAACCAATCATAACACCCGCATAGGCCCCGACGAGTGTGTTATTGGTACACACGTAACGTCTAGGGATGCTGCGCGGGTTATTAAATTTGAACCCGAGGATGTTGCGCGGGTCAATAAGTGAATTCAAGTTCAAGCCTGATCCTCCTATGCAGGCAAGCGGGAGTTGACAAGTCTCGAACACTTAAATAAGTATTCGGTCGCGAGGTCGACTGAGATACTTATTTTATATATTCATATTAGGCCTTCAATGCCTATAATCAAGAGAATTCACTGATAAAGGGATGAAGCCTACGAAACCGGATCCCCTATCATCAAATTGATAGGGTCGACAAGGTTCAAGCTTTCAACAGAAATAATCCCCAACACCTCGATGATGGCCGTGTTGAATGCTTATCTCAACCGGAGGGGTTCACAAATACTTTCAATTTCTTTCCAAAAGTCCATTCCAAATATTTTTAAATGCTATCACAAATTCCACAAAAATTCAAAAAAATATCAAAATCCCAAAAATCCAAAAAAATATTTAAAATTAAAATCCAACCATAAATAATTTAAAGAAAAATTCATCCACCCTATGCAGCAGTTTGGCGACGTGGACAAATTAAAATTTACTTCAGCTCACAAAGAGCTAATGCCTAGTCGAAAATATCACTAAGATCCATTCTGAAATAATCTCCTGCCAGTAAGGACGTGGTACATGTCCTCTAACTGGTGGTTTGCCGCCAAATGGCACCGCAGGATAAACGGTTATTGACTCGGGGCCCTCTGAACCGAGTGGTTTTGCCGCCAAATGCACAACGAAATACCAGTTTGGGCCAGAGCCAATACGCTCATCATTGGTATCAAATCCTTGAGATTGAATCAATATGGTATCGATCGAATAGGGCACAAAAACCCTCTGTTAGCATAAGGGTGGATTCAAATTTGTCCCCTTAGACAAATATTCACCCCAGGTCTACAAGGTACCCTTGGATGAAGCAAACCCATGGCCTGCCGACAGGATCCTTTCTGTCAGGTTGGGTCGACTACCTCTCTGGACTAAGTGTAGACCAGGACCACGATGGCCGGGACACGGAACCATGGGATCTTGATCGGGTCCATCATCATTCCCCACCATCCCGCTTTAAGTGTTAGATTGTTTGAAATTTTTTTTAAATATCAAACCTTTCAAACTCCAAACTTTCAATCAATTTTCAATAAAATTCCCAAACCTATGCTGCGACTATTATCAGACAACACTATTTCTACGTATCTGATTGACGACTAGCCTTAATCGAAAGTTCTCTCTCATTAGTGGGAGGGGTAATTAACTATAGGGACTTGCGCTATAGGAAACTAGAACTCAGATCTTAAAGTCCTCGCAAAATGAGGGCGAAATTTCTAGGTAGTGTCTTATCTACAAACTCTTTGCCTTCCAAAATTTATTCATGGAACCTATTCCGTTAAAACTCCATCGCCGAAGAAAAAGCCAATCATGTGCGGGCGGAGGCGGGGCCGATTTCGGAGGCCACAAGTTTATGTGCATACAAACCTTCGGCTTCTCTCAAGAAAATTTCAACTTATATGGAAGGGAACAACAGGATGAGGGGATTGTTGCTGGAGATGGATTTGAATCTCTTGAGGATATGGAAATATTAGAAATTACTAATTCTGTCACTTGATGAGCCTGAATTAGAAGCTATGATATTTATTGAAGATGATATAGAAACTCAAAGACAAACCACTGAAGAAGCTAATCCTATCATTCCTTCTATTAAATAGTTGAAATTTCATGTGCTGGACAATTTACCTTCTTATTTTTGTTGTTGTACTAGACATTTAAATATTTAATGCTTTTATTTCAATTTTTTTTGTCATTTCAAATATTACACCTTGATTACTTTCTTAATTTTTATGTATTATTTATATATTATAATACCGTATCCGCGCTGTATCCGTATCCTGCATTTTTAAGAATAGGCGTGTCTCGTATCCGTATCGTGTCGTATCCGTATCGCCGTATCCGTATCGGTGCAACATAGGCGATAAGAAATTATCGTGGAGTCTTGTAGTAAATTTTATATAACTACAATAGATTGATGATGTTGTGTCATTTATAGATCCGTTTGTTGGGTAGCCAAAAAGCCTTTCATATTTTCAGTTGAGTGTAATAGAAATGAGAATACTAAAATAGATTTGTGACAAAACTAGAAAGGATAAATTAATGAATGATTAGATTAAAGGAATAATTGGAGTGACATTTATTGAAGATAAGTTTTAATTAAAAATAAAATTATGTGGTTTGGATGCATGATGAAATGTTGAAAATGTACTTATTAGACTTGTTGATTAAATTATTGTTAGAGAAATAAGAAGGAGAAGGCTTAGACCTAAGGTTATATGAAGGGAAGTTGTTCAAAATTATTTGCTAAGATTATGCTTAACATCTGGCAACACTCAACATGAAATAATGGAAAATGAGGATTCTCCAAGTAGTTGGGAAAACACTAATAATCATAATAAATTAATTATATTAAGAGATTGACAAAAACTATTGGTTATCATAATGGATGTGATCTGCTTAATGTGATTGATTTGCGAATCCAATCATTCAATTAAAAGTGTCAAAAAATTCCTTTTATTTTAATCAACTGTAACTTTATGAAACTACAACTTGATTATCTATGTTGTAAATGTGAATATTGAGCGGCAAAAAGTGAAAGAATTAGAAAATATAGATACTATAAGAGTGGTGGAAAGAGTAATTATTGAAGAGAAGATAGTGAAAAAATAAACTCTAGTGGTTTGAACATTGACAACAAAAGATAATAGATGCACCACATATGCAAATATAATTGATGTCAAAAGTTGCTGAAGGAAAAGAGGTTGGTCATAGGTAACTACTTCAACTATGGTCAATTTGGCCTTCCCCTCTTCCTTTCTAGACCATTAATGCCAACTAGCTATATCATATGCCTCCTGCATTTTGACATGAATTGATTATTTTAGGATTGTTCTAGTATCTTCCTCCTACAAGATACCATATGATATGTAAAGAGCATTGATGTAACATCTATGGAAGAAAGACTAGAAAATCTTGTCGGAATTTTAGAGAAGTTAAATGTGTTATCTTCTAGCTATGAAAGACGTGTGAAAGTTATGCATTCATTCTTGTGCCCATATGCATATTGATTTTTCACAAGGTTTTGAAAATCGGATTGGACATGGAATAAAAAAAAAGTGGAGTTTCACGGTTCAATGGTTTAATCGGGTTGAATCGAGGGACATAATACATAGAAAATTTATTTAAATCTAATATACATTATTTAATAATTAAAATTTTAAAAGTGTATACATAACAACCTTGATCAAAGCTGGTGAACAAGCTCGCTTAAGATTCAACATAAAGCTCGTTAAGAAAAGCTGGTGAACAAGCTCTATTAAGGTTCAACATAAAGGTAGTTAAGAAACTCGATTAACCATTAATATGAATATAAGTATATGCATGTTATAAATATAACTATATGAATATTAAATAGATTTAAAAATTAAAAATTTATAATATAAATGTATAAATATAAATATGAGTTTTAATAAAAATAATATTAATATAATATAGAATATTTATTATATAAAAAATTTATGTTTTTAACTTTTATAAATATCCAATATTCATTATAGCTGCTCGCATTCATAACCTAGCCTAATTTCATAGCCTATTTCTCATCTATGATTCACATAGTTTTTTAATCCCACATCATAAGGGAGTTTTAAGCAGTTATCTTTAGATTGTGTAAAACACAAGCCACTAGTAAAAAATCAAGCTTTGTGAGGTGGCAGCTATGTATTTTTATTGAGTTCGCTTTCAAATCTTATAAACGAATATTTAAAATGTAAAAAAAAAATTATAAAACAAAAATGTACTATTAAAAATTTTATTAAAAAAATATTTTGTAGAACCGGCCAGTTCATCAAAATTAGGTCCGTTTCATCAACATTAGGACCGATTCGACGGTTTCTATCGATCTAGCGGTTCAAACCGGTTTGAGCTGATACAACATAAATCCGGTTTTCAAAACCGATCAAATCAGCAACTTGATCGATTCACGGTCAAAATAGCCGATTCAGTTTGGTTTTCAAAACATTGATGCTACAAGAATGAAGAATTTGTGATTCAGTTTATTCTTTTTCTTCTTTTGGTTACTGTAAAATGTTCATAGAATTTACTGCACCACTGAGTTATAATCTTACTATGCAGGCATTTTATAAAGTGTTCCGTAGCTGGGCTTCAAAAAAGTTCATGACAGGATGGTAAGCTTATTTTCTTTTTAAATTTTATCTTTCTGCTCTAAACTTATTACTAAGTGAACAGTGTTATCATATCATCTTTAGTCACTTATTTTTCATGGTATTTTTGGTTTTGTAAAGACGTTGTAGAAAGTAGAAGCTTTTGTACTCAGTAAGTGAATGGCAGGCAAACTACCATCAGGATAAGTATTCACTGTCCTTACTCTAATGAAGATACATTTAATTCTTCCAATATCTTCATATACTTTTCTACTTTTGTGCTTTCAAGGATTATTGATACAAAGCATCCATAAATGCATACAAAGACAGTATATTCAGGATAACAACGGCATTAATGTTTGCACGATTTATTTATCATTTCTATTTCTTTGATCAAAGTTTTTTCTATAAAGAGGGAGTGAGTATTTGCTGCTGTAATCCAGACAGAATGGACTAGAAAGACAACGGGCTTTGAATTAGATGGTTTTAGGCTTATTTAATATAAATGTATTTGGCTTATCTAACACTTGAACTTATTCCATTTTGAAGCATTTCTCTACTGGTTCCATAATTCTGTTTTTTGTTTGAGGCATGTCCTTTAAAGTAATCTTTCCATGTGCTGCAGCATTGAAAGGTGATGGCAACGAGTGCCCATAAAGTAATATAAAAGAAATATTTGAAACTTTTATCAGAAGTAGTATAACTTGATGAGCTGGACAATACATAAAATCAAAGGGCGTTTGTTTAATAAATCTTGGTGTATTAGTTAACACCAAAATAATTTTGATATATTGTAGAATCTTGTTACTGCTGACTTTTTTGGTTAGGATTAAATGTTCAAATATTCAAATGCTTCAGTTTGAAACCTTATTATCTCTCTTTGTGTGCCTGAATTTTTGCGTGAGTTCAAGCGTGTCATAGATGTTGTTAATTATGTACACTGAAGTGCCATGGACAATTCATCATTTGAAACTGGCCTTAGGCATTGATCCGGTATAGCTAGTGGGTGATTGCTGATCATTTATATTTGGCAATTCCATGATATTTGTTATATTTAAAAGTAGTAAGATATTGAAAGAAATATTTTCTGTAGTAAAATATATGATGTTGGAGATATAATTTGCTTATGTTAACCAATTATTATTATTTGAAATGAGATTAAAGCTTATGCTTGATATCGAAGTCCTCTGATAAAGTTTTTATTTTAATTGTAAAATCCTTTTCAACACGTGTTTTCAAATGCTAGGTTGTGTGAATTTGAGAAACACGGTTAGCCCTGCCTCCTACTTATCTTGTTTAATAAAGTCTCTAACTTTCCTAAGGTCAGGAACAGATTTGATCCAGATTTATTCTTATCTGCATGATGATTTGAATCACCAGTGCATAGTTGGACTGCCATGCCAGACTGCCCATTTTTTCAAAATTCAAACTATGTTATGGAGTTAGCTTGTCATGCATATATGCTAATATAATGGGCATAATTATTTTATTCTGATATTCCAAAATCTGACACAACAATAAGTATTTGAATCGGGTGAGCATGAATTACTATAGCTATAATTAGTGAAATACCATATTTCACACCATAGTTACCTACAATAACATGAATCAGCATCATCATCCAAATCATAGTTTCTACTAGCAAAGCTTTCTTGTTGAAACTTGTATTTGTTCCAAATGGTAATAGTAGTAAATGGGAACTACTCAATGTTTGTTTATTCAGGAGGCTTTGGACATTCAAAAATTTCAGAAGCAATATAAAATCTATTAAGGGCAACAACACAAATCCACCAATGTTTCTCCATCTTTTAAGCATCACCAAGATGGTCTTGAATATTAAAAGCCCTTTAATTTGGATTATTCAAAAGCATTAGAGGATGAGGAGTTTAAATTGCATGATATGAAAATAAAGAGGGGTTTGTACTTATAATAATCCACACACTGAATCATAGGTCCCCTTCCTTGTGGTGTTTGTTATGAATTTTTTTCCTAATTGCAAGAAGAACCTCTATACAAGTTATCCTAGGTTTAGGAGTTTGTTTTGCTTTTTAAATTTAAATATTTGGCATATCTTTTTCTTATAAATACTAGCATGTATTAAGTTTTTATTATCATGAATGAAATTAAATTCATTACCCTACAAAAAATTGTCCTCTCTCAAGTGTCTGACCACACCCCTATCTATCATAGCTCTTTAGCTTTCTCTGTCCTCTCTATAACCTAGAGGAATGAGAAAGGGTAATAATTTTTTAATTGCCGGAGTAATTGGAATTACTAGTAGAAAAGAAGAATATTAGGTGGCGAGAAGAAAGGGGTAGGAAGCTTCAAAAGAACATTGAAGCATGAAAGAAGTAATTGAGGATTCATCAAGGAGAAGAGGTAAATGTTAGTAGTAAGAATAAGATGTATTTTAATTTTATTTTTCTACTTTCAGATTCATCTTTAGAATATTCTTCTCTCTTAAATGACACTCATTTTGTAACAGTATTAATCCTAATATCCTCAGTCAACTTCCAAGTTATTGGCACTACTCAAATGTCATATCTAGCATTATATGAGTTAATTCCATCAAAACTAGCCTTCATGTTAGAATAATCAAGCCACCCTTTCATTTAAGATTGAGAGGAGGTGCCACCATTATAATTCCTCTTAGTTTGGAATCACTTTCAATATTTAGACCATACACCTTGGAAAAAGATGATAAATTTAACACTGACAACCTAGGAGCCAAATCATTTAACTTACTAGTATAGAAGAAATTTCCATTGAGCCAAGGAGGCCCTTAAAGTATGTTAAATAAGGTAGGCACCAATATAATAGAGTAAATGGTTGTCCGAAGGGCATTTGCACTTCAAAAATTGGAAAATATTATAATGACTAGTTATGGATCCCATGACAAGAGAGTAATATTTGATGAGCGTAAGGGGATTGGGTGAGGCTATTTGACCATAAGGGAGAGGAGTAAAAATCCATGCTTTTATAACAAAATTGAACTTTCATTCAAATTGGATTTGAGGTTTGAAACCTCCTTATACAAAGATGTCATTGATGATGCAAGGAAATTGGATAATTAGGAGAAATTATCTGAAATTTTTTCTACATATAAAATTTAGCATATATAGAAAGTCTTTTTTGTTTAGTTAAAGATTTCCTTACATAAATGAATGCGGTAGAAAGGAGATTTCAAAACCATGATTTGTTAAGGATTATGTAGTCCGTTAAAGGGCTAGTGAATAATCAATTCTATCTTATTAACCACAAAGGTGATAAGTTGATATGATGGAATTCATTAAGACTAGAAGAAGAGCAAATTTTGTAGACATGTTTCATGAAGTAAACAAGCCATTGCCCTTAGATCTCTTTAGAAGAGAGATCAGTTTCTTAAAATTAATGACAATGTTATTAGAATAACTTTTGCACTTGATGAAGCTATTTTTGTAAGGAGCATTTTAGAAGCAAGCTCCAAATACATTACTGTTGAGCTAAGGAACCTAACCAGCCACAACAATAAAGGAGGAGAGCTTCTTCAACAAATAACAAAACAACAGATGAGCGAAAAGGAGGGAAGGACCTTATTGCGCCAATAGAAATAGAGGATGAGCATAAAATGACCCATTACAAAAGCAAAGAAAGAGATAAGTTCTTTAGACCAAACATTAAATAAAATCTAGTTTTATTGTTGCAATGGTACACTAAGGAAGTAAGAAGAAATTCATATTTGGAGCTTTGGAGAAAAAGTTTGGTGATTTAACACAAGAAAATAAGTTTAGATTATTTTACTATGAATTTCACTTTTATTTTATTTAATGAGGATATATAGTTTTATTAGATTTAGTTTTTATAATATGGATTAATTCTCCTTTCCAATAAATTTAAGTATAAATGTGAATTATTTGTTAGGATTATATTTTAGATAGGATAAAATTTAATATTTTTATAAAGGATAGAAACATATCATCAAATATTTTATTGATTGAAAATATGGTTCAATATAAGTTAAAATAATTACGCATGAGGCCATTTATAGTTATAGGGAGTTAGCGAATATTTAGTTTAAAGAATGCCACAGTGGATTATAAATTATCACCTCTACCTTGAGAAACGGGTTATATACAAAGCCAAATAGATTTATTGCTTGCATTTGGATCATTACTGAATGATTTGAAATCAATGATCTCTCTTTTATCTCTCCTAACTTTTGGATTTTAGCTTTTCCTGTCTTTCTCTCACTCTTTCCCCATATCATTTAGTTCTATTACCAGATGTCAATTTGGTACTTTAGCCAAAACTCATTTCTACTTCCATGGTCTCACATAACTATGCCCTTTGTCTCATTTTCTTTTGAGGTTCTCATGTATGGATAATTCTCGATGCTTTTGACAAGAAATGTTTTTTGTCTTGATTACCTTCATCGACTTTGCAAGTTTTTGATTTTCACTTCTAAGTCTTTTTCCCATGTTGTATTCTTCCCTAAACACAACTTCAACCTATTATGATTCTCACCTCCATCTAATCCAATCGAAGATTGCAACATTATAAAACCATTTTCTTTTAAGATCGTGATCCACGATTGCTGTAGGTTATCACGATCTCACTTGCAATCCTCTTACATCACATTTGCAGGCTTCAAATGCGCTTATCCCTCAAGCTAATGTATTTTGGTCTTGTGAAAACTCTATCTGAACCATCAGTTTCGATGTGAAGCCGCTATTCTTTCTGGTTTGATTTCAATGCAGGTTCTTCTTATATAACTCCACCTAGTTGTATAAAAAGTTTTGTTCGTGGCCGCTCCTGGTTTGTTCACTGCTCATGTGATTAGTTTGCTAAGTTTTATAATCTGTAAACCCTTACGTTAGTCATTTTGCCACCTTTGCATGCATGTCTCAAAGCTTCCACATCCACTTCTGCTTCTTCAATTGCTGACTCTTTATCTCCGTATTTTCCTTAAATCACAATTCTGTCTCTTGAAACTTGAAGCATCGGAGTGTTCATGATATCAGTTTATCAGTTAACCCTCAACAGAG